TCTGTACTGTTTTCCAGAGTGTCTGCACCACTGTGCATTCCCACCAGCAGTGCAAAAGTGATCCTCTTTGTCTGCATCCTTACCAACATCTGTTGTTGCCTGAGTTGTTAATGTTAGCCATTCTGATAAGTGTGAGGTGGTATGTCACTGTGATTGTGATTTGTATTTCCGTGATGATGAATGAAGTTGAGCATGCTTTCATGTGTCTGTTAGCCATCTGGATGTCTTCTTTGGGAAGTGTCTATTCATATCTTTTGCCCATTTCTTCACTGGATTGTTTATTTTTTGGGTGTTGAGTTTGATAAGTTCTTTATAAATTTTGGATACTAACCCTTTATCTGATTTGTCCTTTGCAAATATCTTCTCCCATTCCATTGGTTGCCTTTTAGTTTTGCTGATTCTTTTCTTCACCTTGCAGGAGCTTTTTATCTTCATGACGTCCCACTAGTTCATTTTTGCTTTTGTTTCCCTTGCTTCCAGAGATGTGTTGGGTAAGAAGTTGCTATGGGCGAGGTCATAGTATTTGCTGCCTGCTTTCTCCTCTAGAATTTTGATGGCTTCCTGTCTTAGGTCTATGCCTTTCATCCATTTTATTTTTGTGGATAGTGTAAGAAAGTGGTTAAGGTTCAATCTTCTGCATATCACTGTCCAGTTTTCCCAACACCACTTGCTAAAGAGACTGTCTTTATTCCATTAGATATTCTTTACTTGTTTGTCAAACATTAGTTGGCCATACATTTATGGGTCCATTTCTGGGTTCTCTATTCTGTTCTCTTGATCTCAGCATCTGTTTTTGTGCCAGTATCATACTCTCTTGATGATTACAGCTTTGTATTACATCCTGAAGTCTAGAATTGTGATGCCTCCAGCTTTGGTTTTCTTTTCAGAATTACTTTGGCTATTTGGGCTATTTTCTTCTTCCATACCAATTTTAAGATTGTTTTCTCTAACTCTGTGAAGAATGTTGGATTGGGATGCATTGAATATGTAGATTGCTTTGGGTAGTATCGACATTTTAACAATATTGTACTTCCAATCTATGAGCATGGAATATTTCCCCATTTTGTTTGTGTCTTCTTCAGTTTCTTTATGAGCTTTCTATAGTTTTCAGTGTATAGATTTTTTTTTTATCTCTTTGGTTAGGTTTATTCCTAGGTATTTTATGGTTTTTGGTGTAATTGTAAATGGAATAGATTCTTTGATTTCTATTTCTGCTGCTTCATTATTGGTGTATAGAAATGAAACTGATTTCTGTGCATTGATTTTATATCCTACAACTTTACTGAATTCATGGATCAGATCTAGCAGTTTTTTTGGTGGAATCTTTTGGGTTTTCCATGTAGAGTATCATGTCATCTGTGAAGAGTGAAAGTTTAACCTCCTTCTGGTCAATGTGGATGTCCTTTATTCCTTTGTGTTGTCTGATTGCTGAGGCTAAGACTTCCAATACTGTGTTGAAGAACAGTGACAAGAATGCAGATTCCTGTCGTGTTCCTGACCTCAGGGGGAAGGCTCTCAGTATCTCCCCATTCAGGATGATATTAGCGTTGGATATTTTACATATGAGTTTTATGATCTTGAAATATGATCCTTCTATCCCTACTTTCTTGAGAATTTTTATCAAGAAAGGATGCTATATTTTGTCACATGCTTTCTCTGCATCTATTGAGAGGATCATGTGGTTCTTGTCCTTTCTTTTATTAATGTGATATATCATACTGATTGATTTGCAGATATTTAACCAATCCTCCATCCCAGGTATAAATCCCACTTGATGGTGATGAATAATTACTTTATGTATCATTGGATTGGTTGGCTAGTATCTTGTTGAGAATTTTTGCATCCATGTTCATCAGGGAAATTTGTCTGTAGTTTTCCTTCTTAGTGGCGTCTTTGTCTGGTTTTGGAGTCAAAACCATCTGGTAATTACCATCTGGTAATGCTGGCCTCATAGAATGAGTTTGGAAGTTTTCCTTCTATTTCTATTTTTTTTTTTTTTTTTTTGAACAGCTTCAAAGGAATAGGTGTTAACTCTTCTTTAAATGTTTGCTAGAGTTCCCCCTGATAAGCCATCTGGTCCTGGACTCTTGTTTTTGGGGGATATTTTTTATTATCACATTTTTGGTTGAATATTATTTGCCATACTGTCTAGGAGAAAGACATATGGAAGTTATTTATGGTTTTAACCACAGCTTATTATTATTACTATTATTTGACAGTAATTCTTAATGAGGAGATAGATCTTTGATAGTCATTGGGTTGTTGTTGTTTTTTTTCTTTTTTTTACAAACTGTAACTCCATATTCTGTAATGCTGTTCCTGATGAGGAGCAATTACCTCTCTGAGAGGCATTGCCTTAGTTAAGCACAGATTAGAATAGGTGTTATTACTTTTTATGTGTATTTGTAGAGACAAATACATGAGTACCACTGATCTAAGGTGAAGCAGACATCTTTCTTTCAGTATTTTATTTATGTAGTTAATCAACAGCTACCTCCATGATTTCTAGTTTTTATTCTATGGATCACAAATCTCAATCACCAAATTGAAGTCTAACGCTGCATTTCTGCCATTCCTCTAAGGCTGAGAGCCCCTGTTAATTCCTGCCACTGCGGCTCTCCCTGCCACACCACAGCCTACATTTTGGTGTAGTTCTCATTGGAGAGAGAATGGAAATTACAGCAAAGCAAGTTCAGGAAGTGACTGTCAATACCCTCATCACATTCTGCTGCCTCTTTGATATCCCAAACCCCTTAGGGACATACACACTGTGATCTCATGCTACCTAAAGTATCCCTGTTGAGCATTCTTGAAGTTACATGCTTATCCCAAGAACAGAGGCAAATGTGACATTTAAAGGGACTTTTTACTTCAAACTGAATGTAAGGGTGACAGTTGCACAGCAGTTACTTGTCAGAGTTTAATGACTAAAATCTATACACTTTTTCCCCCCAGGTTTGGTATACTGAGACCTTCTTTGAGAAAAATATTCTGATATACTTGAAAACACTTCAGATTTGGAGTCAAAATGCTACTCACCTTACAATTTACTAGCCGTAATGTGCTTCAGCAAGTTATTCATCTCCTCTGCTTGTTTCTTTGATTTTAAAATATGAATATATTGACATAGTACCTACCTTTAAATTCCCATAGTGACATCATTGTAGAAATGGAGATGATGTCTGTATGAATGCATAATTATTATATGTGGTAATAGTCATGTTCCTTGCTTATACATGAAATCAATATTATTTTATATACTGAGATTATTTTGAACCAACATAAAGTAAAAGATTTTTTAGTTTCATTTACATGACCAATAGTTTCAACCCAGTTCATTTGTAATGACAGAGGACCTTAAAAATAACAATGATTTTGCAATCAGGTGTGCAACATAGGTAAACATTAGGCATTTTTATAATTAAAATAATGCAAAGTTTTTAATAAGCTGTATTACACATGGACTGCTAACGGTGCACAATCACTGTATTACTTCTTTTATAATCGTGCTTTTAGTATTCCATTGAAACATGGCCAGTGAATGCACAATATTCTTAGTTACCATTATGAGGGGCTCTGTATATTACAACGTCTCCACTGTGTCTGCCGTTAGCTGGAAAAATGCTGGGAGGAACAGCAGCTACTATCAACAGGGAGCCATATTAATTATTTGAAATGTGCCTCATAAGAGGAATCAGCAGAGTTTATTACAAGTCGAATATTACTTGAAACGGGAAGGTTACTCTAACTGTTATCATAATCTATGTATCATTAACTTTCCTTGTTTAGGAAAAGAGATTAACAACCCTGTAAATTGCTATAGTAAATGTGTAAAATATAACTGCATATCCCCATTGTAGAAAGAAAGTGGTGGGTCTTCCACTTCTACCCAAACCTTTTTTTAGAAAGAGATTTAAAAACTAGCTTTAGAAATGGGACTGACTCTGTGATCGTGCTTTCTTGCCTCAAAATTCTAATTGCTTACAGAATCATCAGTATGCAACGTGTAGCCTATGAACATTAGAAAAATTTTTAGTTTTTAAACTAGCAACTTTTTCAATCATCATCTTGACCTTCAAATCAACACCTTAACTGATAAGACAGAAAGTATATTACAAATATGTATGTGAGCTGGCAGAATATTTTACAAGGACTAGAAAATGAATTCATCTGCCTACTTTTTTTAAAATGTTATTCTATTATTTTTGAGAGACAGAAAAAGACAAGGCATGAGCAAAGGTGGGGTAGAGAGAGAGGAAGACATAGCAGCAGGCTCCAGTCTCTGAGCTGTCATCACAGCTGGATGTGGGGCTAGAACCCACAAACTGTGAGGTCATTACCTGAGACGAAGTCAGACGCTCAACTGACTGAGCCACCAGGTGTGGTGTCTCCTTTTTATATTGTGGCTAGTTATTGTTTTTCCATAAAACACACTTAGCAGGAAGGGGTAGTTTTCTATTCAAATAATAGAAGTAAATTATGAAAAATAAAATACAAATTAACCAGTTATAAAGTTATCTAAGTAAGTGCTACCCGAGTGTTATTTGACATTGATGCCAGTCTGCACACTGTATATTACTGGTATGAAATTAAATAAGTGCATAAATTGAGAGTGTTTAGAAACACTTAGGGCAAATTCCTAGATTACTTATTGTCTATTTAATTAAATAATAAAAAATGTGGACTTGTTTATTTGTGTCTTTTTATTCTTCCATTTCATTATTTTTTTGCAAATAATTTTCACTGTAGTTTTAGAAGTGCCATTCCACAATGAATTTGTAATCAATAATTTAAAAAAATAGGTAGTTTAAGAAGGACTGATTTAATCGGTTGATGTTTGGATGATGCAGACTGCTCCTGTGTTTGAATGAATCTGTCGACACAGTTTAATGATAGTTAATTCTGTGCGAAGAAAGATAATGTGATATCATAAAAACCAAAAAAATATATTAAAAGGTATAACTGCTATTTCTACCTGACACTTATTTTTGGGTCAACAGGGCAGGCACATCATGGACAGGTATCATACATCTCTCCACCAATTCACCTTGACTCTGAGCTAGAAAGACCCCCTGTTAGAGGTGAGTTGTTTTATTATTATTATTATTATTATTAATATGATTATTATTTAAAGAAAAACTATTCATTAATTTTTATGAAGTTAATTAAATTATAAATGTTACGTATTTTACAATGCAATACCTGTTTGAAAAGCGAGGGGAGGAATAGTGCACAAGGAATTTGAGAAAAAGCATATTTTATTCATAAATAAAATATGAAATACTGTTCAGAGAAGTATTCTTAAAGCAAAATAAGAAATAGAGATACATTGTGATTCAACTAGTAGAGGACTAGTTGAAAACCAATCAGATTTAGAGATTACCAGATAACCATTACTTTTTTATTTTTTACTGAAACTTTCTTCTATTATCTCTTTTTTAAAGAAATTAAGATGCCTTAACTGAGGTCATATTGACATTTACTTCCTTGCAAAATGATATTTTATATTTTATTATTTTTTTAAATGATTTTAGCATTATTATGATCATTTAGTTTTTAAAATATATAAATTAAAATTGTGTTTTTTTAAATTGATACTATTTGTTTAAAGATTTTAAAAATAACTAACCATACAAAATAAGAATTAAAAGTAACATTCATTTTCCCATAATCTAAATAGATTTTTTTCTGCTTTTAAGCAAATATTATTAATTATTTTCAAAATGTATTATAATGTTCAAGGTTGATGAGATTGATATAGATATGTTTGTGTTTTTATAAATACCAAATATTCTAATTTTTTTTCAGATTTAAGTGATGCAGGATATTCCCTTATACCTTTAACAATATCAATCACTTGATACAATAAAAGTCATTAGGTCTGCTTTTATGAGCATGTTTTATATACATGCGTTTTCCTCTGCCAGGAATCTCTTACATTTTTTTTTTCTGCCCAGTTAGTATCTACCAGTGTTTGAAGGCTCTGCTTTATCTTCAGTTCCTCTGTAAAGTCTTCCCTGGCTATGCACTAGGGAGGAGGAAAGTGAATGTATCTGTTCTCCAAATGCCCCCGGTGCTTGCCTCCATTATTACATTTAAGATATCTGTGTGTTATTTTTCAGCATGCATATTTCCCTTTCTCTTCTGTCAAGGTCTTCAAGGACAGAGACTGTCATAATTATTATTTCTCCTCCAGCCACTGCTATATGTTTGGGATGTAGTGGGAAGTCATACATTGATTTCTAAGTAACTGAAAGTCAAGGTGACAACCTAGGTTCTGAACGATGCATCCACCTTTTTTCAAGAAGAAAAGAAAGCAGGGATGACAATGGAATTCCATGAAATGGGAGCAGAATGAACCAAAACATAAAACTGTGAATGTTCTGACATTTTTAAGGAAATGTGCTTGGTGCACAATAAAATGGGACAGTTCTCAAGGAAGAGACTGGGAAGGTGTGAGAAGTCAGATTGGGAAGGATTCTGTATCAGATGGCAAGAAGGTTATATGGGGGAAAAAAAGGTTACAAAATACTTTTTTTAATATTTTATTTATTTTTGAGAGAGAGATAGAGACAGCATGAGTAGGGGAGGGTCAGAGAGAGAGGGAGACACAGAATCCTAAGACAGGCAGCAGGCTCTGAGCCAGCCGTCAGCACAGAGCCCAACGCAGGGCTCAAACCCAGGAACTGTGAGATCATGACTTGAGCCGAAGTCAGACGCTTAACCAAATGAGTCACTCAGGCGCTCCAAAATACTTTTTTTTTTGTTTTTTAAAGTTCATTGATTTATTTAGAGACAGAGAGAGTGAGCGGGGGAGGGACAGAGAGAGAGGGAGAGAGAGAATCCCAAGCAGCCTACACGCTCTCAGCGCAGAGCCCGAAGGTGGCTCCAGCCCATGAACTGTGACATCATGAACATAGCTGAAACCAAGGGTCAAACACTTAACTGACTGAGCCACCCAGGTGCCCTGAAATACTTTTAAGTTTTAAATTTTTTTTCTAAAATAAAGTAAAAATAAAATTTGTTTTTCTAAGTTAGCGAGGTTTTACATTATAACACTATGTTTTTGATATAAGAAAAAGATCTCTGAAGCCAGTGTAGATGAGGAGAGATTAACAGAGGAAGGCGGTTTCAGTCATCAGGATAAAGATTACTGGGAAATTAGAAGTATGTCTGCTACTATGGCCAAGTCTGAGAAATCTGTTGAAGAGAGACAGCATTTAACTTAATAGACGTAGGGAAAAGGAGCAGAAATGCGTCTGAAGTTTCTATATGGATTAACTGCTTGGATTCTTATGACATAATCCTTCATCATCAGGAATAGATGAATTTTAAATCAGTGCATTGTTTTAGACATGTTAATCCTTAGTAGAATATTTTCCCTACCAAAGATGGAGGTCCATTTATGCAAGTTGGTGACTTTAATATAATTCATTTCTTCTGACATCCCGGTCTGATTTGGGAAGAGTGTGGTAAAGTCAGGGATAGGGTAGTCTAACAGTACACCCCAAAATTTAGTGGCTTAAATCAGGAAACATTTATTATAGTTCGCAGACTCTAGTTGAGTTGTGTGTGTACTAACTTGGCTGAAGTTAGATGTTTAGGAGTTAGCAAGCTGGTTGGTTTTGCAGAGGAAGGAACTCAGTCACATGCTTGGTCGTCACTGGGATGATGGCCATATGGCTGTCATCTTCAAGCAGTCTAGCACAGGCTCATTCTCATTGTGACAGAATTCCCAATAATGGGTAGTCAAGTCCCAAAGTTCAGGTATTTTTCAAGACTCTGCTTGTATCATGTTTGTTATGCCTTATAGGCCAAAGTAAGTCACATAGCTTACCCTAGATGTAACAGGGGAGAAAAAGACTCTTTTTTTTTTTTAAATTTCTTTAATGGCTATTTATTATTTTGACACAGAGAGAACACGATCAGGAGAGGGGCAGAGAGAGAGAGACACACAGAATCCGAGGCAGGCTCCAGGCTCTGAGCTGCCAGCACAGCCCGATGTAGGGGTTGAACTCACTGACTGCAAGATCATGACCTGAGTTGAAATTGGACACTTAACCAACTGAGCCACCCAGGCACCCCACCATCTTTTGATTTGGAACCATAATCCAAAGGATCATGGATATTGAGAAAAGGGTTTTCAGACTACCATAGCAAAACAGAAAAGAATAAAATTAATTTAGAATGAAATAAGACAAAAATTGATAAAATGAAGGGATTTAGAGCCAATTAACTTAAACTTGAGAGTCCCAGACATTTTTATCATTAGTTTCCTCAACTACTACTTATCTCCTCAGAAATAAAAACTTTTCAGTGTCTTTGTGAGGATTAGGGGCAATATAGAATAGAATTGCTCATCCAGTAGGTCCTAGATAAAAATGTGGTTATCACCATGTATTTTGGCGGTCACTTCTGTAGCATATGGGAGGAAATTGGACTTTGAAGCCAGGCAAACCTGTATGACCTTAGGCAGCTTCTGTCTGTATTCTGTAAAACAAGGATAATAATGTTACCTGAGCCAAGTTCATTAGGATAATTATGTAATATATTAAGTATCAAGTTCATGGCAAATATGTAAACTAGACCCGGAAGAGTTAGAAGGCAAGTAGGCATTATTAAAAGCTTTCCTTTACATTGGCATCATCTTGGGGTGCCTGCATCTGACTCCTGATTTCAGCTCAGGTCATATCTCACAGTTTTTGTGCTCAAAACCTACATGGGGCTCTGCACTGTCTGCACAGAGCCTACTTGAGATTCTCTTTCTCCCTCTCTCTCTGTCTCCCTGACTGTCTGTTTCCCTCTCTCAAAATAAGCTAAATAAACTTTAAAAATTAAAATAAAATAAAATGGCATCATCTTGGTCAAAGTAGTGAGGGTACTGACCTGGTAAATAATGAATTGCTAGAACCCAACAGTCATCTCTGCTGATACTTCCCTCAAATCTCACTCTTAGAATGACTATCTTGATAACTGCTGGTTCTCATAGCATTCTTTCCTTGCAGTGACCCAGAGTCATTCCTAAATTATTCTGTGATTAATATAATTGCAGTTAAGAGTTACTAGCTCATGTGCCTTATAGTACTGCAATATTCAAAAAAAGAACACTTAAGTAGGTAAATAAAGAGGTTTGTATAAATCACCATAACACTGAAAAAAAATCTTGGGCTTTTTTTTTCTTAAAACTATTTAATAATTCATTTAAAAACAAATATTAATAATCGGATAGAGTCGATATACTAACCCCATTACTTTGGAACTACAAAGTATTTCCCTTCGACTTTGAACCATCACCTTCTTCATTTGCCTTTTTTTATGTTCTATTTACTTCTGAGAGAGAGAGACAGCATGAACAAGAGAAGGCCAGAGAGAGAGGAAGATACAGATTCTGAAACAGGCTCCAGGCTCTGAGCTAGCTGTCAGCACAGAGCCCAACGCGGGGCTTGGACCCACGAACCGTGAGATCATGACCTGAGCGAAAGTTGGACACTTAACTGACTGAGTCACCCAGGCGCCCCTTCATTTGCCTTTTTTAATTAACTGTATACTCCTACTTATATGTAGTCAAATTATATAAATGAACTCTAGATATTTCTATTACTGTCTATATCTAATACAGAGAGAATTTCTCAAGTAAATTCTAAGTTTTTATAAGAATTTACACAATAAGATATCAGGTTCTTTAAATAATATGGAATTCTAGCTCCAATACTTGGATATTTTGTGTGAGATATGTAACAGTATCCTTTGAAGTACCTAAAAACTGACATAAGCTAACCATTTTGCTTTTCTTTTTCTATTTTTCTACTACAATAATTGTATACATATTTAGAGTATGAGACAGTTTTGTTGACATTTCTTTCTAAGTTTCTCTATATTCTCTCTATATCTCTATATATTCTTATTCCCCCTTCCTGTACCAATTTCCACTAGTCCACATGCATTTTGATGTTTTAGGAATTATTGCTTTATATATTAATTCCTTATGTGTTTTGTAGGCTTATATTTTTATAGGAAACTCATATTTAATTTTCTGACATTCATCAAACTAGCAATACAAAACAGCGATGTTTAAAATGTT